TTTGACCTCGGAAATGAATTCCTTGTCCCAATTTTGCTATAGTTTGATGTATCACATGCAACTGTTATTCTAACTTGGGCCAAACTTAGCACATTAGTATACAAAGATATTTTCTTTTATTGCGCGCGCGCGCGGAAATTTAAGCCTTTGGTGTTGAATTTTTTTAGCGCATATTTGTTTCAAGAGTGTCAGGAAAAATTTTCAAGTGCAATTAATGAAGTTAACATTGATTTCCTGTCAAAAAAGTCGCATTTTTTCACAAAAAACGCGCGCGCACTTTTGCTCAGATTCCTTCAAAACCAAAAAATGCACATAATATACATAATTCTGAGTTTGCATGCAAAAAATCATCCTACGACAATTCTAAGTTATGTTTAAACACTGTTTAAATTTTCCGGAGAGTAATACGTTTTGTGGCCCCCCCTTTCTAAATGTTATAACCAACATCTGTCTCTATTAATCTTTGACTCTGAGAATCAAATCAATTCCGTATTAACTATGAAGAGGGTACAGTTGACAAAGATCGTTCCTTTTTTAAATTATCGTTATGAAAATTACTAAAAAATGTTAAAAGATTGATCTTGTTGATACTTTATAAAAATAAAAAACCTACCCCCAGAGGAGTAGCAGGTGTGGCCCTCAATCTCTCTAAAAGTATTAAAGGATTAACTGAAACCATAAAAATGGAACTTTGTAGAAGTAATTGAAAAGATCCTGGTTTAATATTGCGTTGATAATAGATTCTGCATTGATAATACACTCACCTTTTAGGATATTGTACCCAGGAGATCCTGACATGCTCATGTTCGTCATTCCTTCTACAATAAATATTTAGGTAAAAACATAATCAAAAGGAAAGGGAAAGTGGACTATCACCTGGAGATCTATTTTTGGACTCCCCCACGCCAGCGCCCATCCCCCCCTAAGGCTTACGTGGTTCAGGTCTGACATGTTTCAGAGCGCCTCGGCTAGGACATGCTAGGGCCCGGACGCTGTAGCCACATGAACAATTGTATCCATGTGTTACATATGAGATTCATGTACAAAATTGATAGGAGATACATCAAACTATAGCAAAATTGGGACAAGTGTAAAATAACTCAGGAAATGGAACTATTTGAACAACAATATTTCACTGAGCAATATATCATATTGACGAGAACTGAAGGACATGAGAAGGACAGGGGGTCCAAAAATCGTATACTAGGAAATTACCACTTCCTTTAACTGATAATTACTTCAGGAAAAACATATTTTAACAATGATTTTTCTAAATAAATTTGAATAACAATAATTTCTTCTTACGCATAGGTCCAGGTGAGCCAGTTTGCCTAAAATTTGGCAACGCCATTTTTCTCTCTCCTTCACTTTTATTTCTGAAAAAAAAACTAAATTGAAGTAATTCAACTTTCAGACTTAAAAAAAATATTACACATTAAGCTTGAAAGCTAGTTTTGCATTTTGTAAAGTAGGCAGCCGGCTGGATTCTGAAATTTTGTTTGTTTGAGCGGTCTAGTCTCGTTCCATTTTAATTATTCAGCAGAGCCAGTTCAGTCAAATGTCGTCTTCTAAAATAATATTTTTATTTTTAAAAGGATGGAGGGAATGGAGGGGAAAAGTCGGAAAAGATGAAGGAAAAATGGAGGATAAATGGGGGGGAAGATGAAGGATGGAGGGAAAAGATAATGAATGGAGGGGAAAAGATGTAGAAAAAATGAATGATGAAGGGGAAAAATAAAGGATGGAGAGGGAAGATGGTGGATAGAGGGGATTAAGATTAAGGAAATATTAAGGATAAAGGGGGAAGATGAAGGATGGAGAAATAAGATGAAAGAAGAGAAGGGAAAAAGATAAAAATAAAATGAAGGAGAAAGGTGAAAAATTAAGAATGGAGAGGGTGCAGGTTGCAGAGAAATGAAGGATGCAGAGAAAAGATGAAGGATGCAGAGAAAAGATTAAGGTTCCAGAGAAAAGATAAAGAATGTAGAGAAAATATGAAGGTTGCAGAGAAAATATGAGGGTTGCAAAGAAAAGATGTAGGATGCCGAGAAAAGATGAAGGATGCAGCAGAAAGATGAAGAATGGAGGGGACAAATAAAGGATGGAGGGGAAATATGAGGGATGAAGGGGAAAGATGGGTGACAAAATATTAAGGATGCAGAGAAAAGTTGAAGGGTGCAGAAAAAAGATAAATGTTGCAGAGAACAGATGATGATGGAGAGGAAAGTTGAAGGATGCAGAGAAAACATGAAAAAGGTTGCACACAGAAAAGATGAAGATGGAAGATGAAGCAGATGATAGTTTTTAACTGTATGCAACAACAACCCTTTAAGTTAAAAATTTCCTTCCTATTAAATAATTAATGCTAACAATGAGTGAACTGATCTTTGAGATTTATTATCAGCTGTCTTATCTCACAATTCTTATCTTAATAAAATAATCCAGTTTAAAGCTTTACTCTCATCAATTGCATATTAAATGTGTTTAAAATTATATCATTCTTTCATAATCAGGAATTGCAGTTTGAGAAGATAAAACGTTTTATAACTTAGTTATAAATATGCAACAAAGTTTATTATTTTTTTATCAAGTGAAATAAAAATGGCTGAAAATGTTTTAGATTTAGATTGTGTAAATCGTTTTGTTTCCATCATCAATCAAACTGTATCAATGCATTGTGAAAACTAATTGTGAAATTGAGGTGATTGGAGGTTTTAAGGAACCTGCTATTTTAGAGCTATAAATGCCTAAATGAAACTCTGAAACCTTTATCAAAGTAACAATGAGCTAGGAAGATATTGTTGTTTTTTTATTCTTGAAAAGAGTGTAACTTTGTCAATTTTCTTCCTTGTTACTACTTTCAGAAACCGTAATTGAAAATTATAAACATTGAAATATTTGAAACCAAGGAAATCGATCTTCATTTGTTTTCACTTGAAATTACGTCAGAATAGTTCCTTTATTTGTACTTTAATTTTAGATTAATTGTGAATGAAGATAACATAATAAATATGAAAGGTGTTTACGCCTTACTTCTGCTGATATTCCCTGGGTAAAATAATCTTTAATTTAATAATGAGATTTTTATTGAATAATCTCAAGTTTTCTAATCCTCATATCTTTGCAACCAAAGGATGAAAACGATTGGATCTAGTTTGAAAATTAAATGAAAGGTTTTATACAACATTACATTGGAAAGAGATAAGGACTATAAAATACAAACTCTAAATTTCTATCCCTAAATCTCTGAAACCTGATAGTGAAAACCTTTGACTATTTGGACTATTTTGGTCTATCACACTTCATTGTTTGAAATATCGCGTTGAAAAGATAAAAGGATTAGAAAACACAGTTATTTGGCGAGTGTTCAGTTAAAAGAGTCTTTTTCAGCATTTGCTTGGCAGTAGAGGATGATAGAAGAATAGATTGTTTGCCGGGTAATTAACAATTATTTTTCTATTTTTGGGTTTTTCAATTTTATTTAATACACTGGGCAATATGTCGAAAGCATTAAGGAAATCTAGAACATAGTCCTAAAGCAGACAAGATCAGAATAATAGTTACAACTTGAAACAAAAAAAAGTTACTGGATCAGGTAAAGATGAAGCGTCCTGTAGTTCTATGGGATGTATTTGGGAGCAGACCCAGTCAGAAGCTCCAAACTGCTATCTCCCTCAGACCTACGGTTATAGGTTTAAAGTTTTTAAAGTTTCTTCTTTAGATAAGCTTTGAAGTTGCTGATTAAAACTTGTTATTTTTAAAGAATTTGAAAGACAAGAATTAATGCATAATATGTCAGGGCAAGAGGAGAACTTTATGAGATTGAAGGAGGACTAGCAATAGGTTTGATTTTGATCCTTATTAATTGAATTTCAAAACAACAACTTGGTAAATGTTTTAAAACATTTCTTACAGACCTAGTCCGTGAAACTGAGATTTCAATGTTTGGAAGTGATTATCAAGAAATTACTGTTGCTTTTGAACATCAAACTAAAGATCGTCTAAGGTAAAAACTTTAAAACTTTAAAGATTTTTCAACAATGCCGTTAATATTTCTCATTTTTAAGGGTAAAGATCTACTCAAAAGATGAGCAGCGATTTGAAGTTCCTCTCAAAATTGAAGGTAAAAAAGCCAAAGATTTAATAATTTTTAAATTAGTTAAATACTGAATTTTTCCTTAATTACATGATTTAGGTGCTGAATTCAGTGAAGAGAATGAATACAGTTATGAGATCATCAATGAACCAGTCTTCAGTATCAAGATTTTCAGAAAATCATCTGGCACTGTTATCTTTGACAGCTCTCTTGGAGGACTTACATTTTCAGATCAGTTTTTGCAGATAAGCACAATACTGCCATCTTCCAACTTTTACGGTCTTGGAGAGCAGGTAGGACTCTTAAAAAGATTAAAATAGATTTATTTTATTTTGATTCTCAGGAGCAACCAAGCTTTAAGCATGACATGAACTGGAAAACTTGGGGCATGTTTGCAAGAGATCATCCTCCAGATGGTGACTTAAACTAATTTAAATAGATTTTTCAAAATCAATATTTAAATGTTTTTTTATAGGTGATATTAACCTGTATGGCGTACATCCAAGATATACTGTTCTTGAGGAAGATGGAAATGCACATGGAGTACTTTTTCTAAATAGCAATGCACAGGTTTGCTTGATATTTTCATGTAATTGTTAAGAAGAAAGACTAAAACTTTAGCAGTTGCTTTACCCTTAGGAAGTGCTCTTGATGCCAACTCCAGGTTTAGTTTACAGAACAATTGGTGGCATTCTTGACATTTACTTTTTCTTGGGGCCATCCCCAGAAGAAGTTGTCTCCCAGTACACAGAGGCAGTTGGAAGATACTATGTTCCACCGTACTGGTCTCTTGGATTCCAACTTTGCAGGTTCAAATCAGTTTTTAATAACATTCAATTAATGTTATAGAGACAAATTTTGACATAGTTTTTATCTATTTGTTATGCATTTAGTTTTTAGGCATTTAAGAGACTCTACAAAAATCTGAAATGTTTAACATTACTTTTAATTGTATTTATTCTTTAATGCTTTTATTAACATGTGCAAAATCTTGACTCTAGCAGAATTCCTAAGCCTGAACAATGATTAAATCGTCTGGTAACAGATGACTTTGTTGCATCTAAAATTTATGACTTTTGTCAGAGTCAACAATTTTATAAATCACAAGAAAGAGTAAAATTGTGTAAGAGTTATAGTTGAATTATAAATATATGAGCTCCTAAAACCTACAAAATAAAAAAAAACATATAAAAACTTTGCCAATTTTTATTGTTTGGATTGTTTAGATGGGGCTACAATACATTGGACAATATGAAAGCAGCATGGCAGAGAACTAGAGATGCAGGAATTCCTTTTGATGTTCAGTGGGGAGATATTGACTACATGGATAGGAAAATTATGTCTTTTAGAAAACTAAAATAAACATTTAAATTCACTAATACCATTATATTAATACCATTTGATTTTATTAAAAGATGAATTCATAGATCCCTGGATTTTACTATAAACCCAACAGACTTTAAAGAATTACCAGCATTTGTTGATTCCCTACATGATATTGGCATGAAATTTATCCCCATATTAGGTAAAAAATTTCCTTTGCTCTTCACCAAATCATACTGTAGATAAGAATAGGCTGAACAATTGATAATCTAAAAACCATACTTCAATTTTTATATAGAAATCAATTCTGAGCAATTTTGTTTTGAAAAAAAAATTTTAATGACTCCTTGAAGTATAGCTGACCCTGAATTGATTAAGAATGAAAAAAAAATTCCTAGGGACCCAACATTAGCTGACTTTTAAAGACTAGGAGTCCTATAAAAAAGAGATTTTGTAAAAGCAACATTGCTCAGAATAAATTCTTCCATAAAAAAGTTTTTTTTTCACATAACACTACACCAGCTTTTATAACTTATAGATCCTTGTATCTCCATGGGTGAGCCAGTTGGAAGTTACCCTCCCTTTGAAGAAGGAAATGCCTTAAAGATATGGGTTTCCAACTCATCTGGAGATCCTCTTGTTGGTAAGGTTTGGCCAGCTGACAATTGTCATTTTCCAGACTTTTCAAATCCTACTACACAGGTAAACTTTTAAATTTTTTTATTGAATATTTTACATTTATTTTACACAATTCAACAAAAGCAATGATATCTGTTAAAAATTGTTCAGGAGTGGTGGATCAGTCAACTGGCAGTGTTTCATGAGCTCGTGTCCTATGATGGTATTTGGATTGATATGAACGAGCCTGCTAACTTTGTAGCTGGAAGTGTTGATGGCTGTGAAGATAACAAGTGGAATTCCCCTCCTTACAAGCCAAAATCAGTTGGAGACACTTTACCTGACAAAACTATCTGTTTAGGTAAAAAAAAACTGCAACTATTAGGTTTATCTTTTGTAACATAAATGTAGTGCATAGAATTCATTATCTATAGATGCTGAGCAAAATTTTGGTCGGCATTATGATACACACAGCCTGTATGGTTGGTCTCAATCTGAACCTACACTAAGGTATGATAGACTTAACAGGTACAAAGAATTGATTTTAAAAAAGAATGCAATGTCTTTGTCCTAAGCAATTAAATATTTTTTGATCCAGCTAGGTAAAAAAAAAAACCTCCATTCTCCAAGTTAATACAGCATTAAAAGAGTAATACAGGCCTTCAATGTTTCTTGTAGTTCTGTTTATTTCTTTTCCATTTTTGTGCAGGGGTGTATACAGGGGATATACACCTTTCCTAAAGTTTCTCTAGTTTGCCATTTTCTTCAGAATGTTAATTTTTTAACCTTTTTTCAAAGGCTTTTTTTTATTTTTTTTAGAGGATTATCTTCAGGTATAATTTTTTCCTTTATTTAAAAAGAGAAAAATATTCATGAACCCCAAGGACATATATCTTTTACCATTATGTGTGGTTAGCCATCCTTCAAGATCAGTTATGCCAGAGAATTGATTTCATATATGATACAGAGTTCCATCTTAAATATACATAAAGATGGGGATTAAAATCAAATGATGTTTTCAATCCACATCTTTTTGTATATTTAGCATGGAACTCTTTATCTGTATCTTTTAAAAATTAAAATTATTTAATTATTTGTAGAGGTGTTGAGGAAGCAACGGGAAAAAGAGGATTAGTACTGAGTCGCTCCACATTTGTTGGTTCAGGTAAAAGTTTGTCTGATGTTGTATTATTTAAAGCATGGTGTAATATTTAGAAGAATGACCCAACTAAACAACCCTCAAGCCTTCCTCTAACTCTAAGTTATTAGAGAACCTGGAGAATAGGATCAGTATAGGATCAGTACACTCCAGGAACTTATACACGCTTGAGCCTTAGCTCCCGCTTATACCCTTTAAGGCTTGGGGACTTGTACTTCATTGACAGCTCTCAGGATGATATATCTTACCAGGACGTCCAGAGGCTGGACAGCCTCATTTTCATCATCTACTCTAGATACTCCCAACCAGAGTATCAGAGAATCTTCCAATCATAGCTAGTTCAACTACTCTAGTTACTTGCAACCAGAGTCTCAGAGATTCTTACAATCTATAGCTAGTCCAACTACTCTAGATACTCGCAACCAGAGTATCAGAGATTCTACCCAGCTACAGCTAGTTCAACTACTCTAGATACTTGCAACCAGAGTAAAAGAGACTCTTCTGATCTACAGCTAGTTCAAAAACTCTAGATACTTGAACTGGGCCTAATTAGAGGTCTACTGGAGATATAGAGCAAGTAATAAATCTAAAAAAATGAGGCTCTACTCCAGTCCAGCTAGTTTAACTACTCTAGTACCGGCCTGTCTGAAATACCTGCGAGAATGTATAAGAAGACTAGGATGTCATAGACTTATCTCAACCTCTGGGGACAGTGTAGACAACTTAGACACATCTCAGCTAGTAGGAGCATCTCAGATAGTAGGAGCATCTCCGCAACCAGAGTATCAGGGACTTAAGGAGCAGCTCCGGTAAAATACAGCTAACATAGCAAAGACTCTAGGAGCAGCTGGATTTGAGATACATTAGAAGCAGCTACAGTATCATCCAGGATTACGGTATAGTAGATAATGAATCGGAGCAGCTGAACAAGATATCTAGTTGATGAAGCTGCCTAGTTAGATGCTGAACAGGAGTTGAAGGAGCTGCTTGATTACAGCAGAGAATTATGAATATCTGAACAAAATATAATAAGATATAAGTAAACTTTAACAGATGTATTTATACCAATAAAGATAAACTGATAAATTCCATTCATTTATGTTCTGAGAGATAGGCATTAAACTATATGAATGACTTGAATTGGATAGTTTATGAAACTGGTACTGGGATCAAAAGTGAAGCCTTTGCATTAACCTTTGACAGAGGAGGGGCAAATGGTTGACCTTGATATCCCTAGGATTATGTCTGGAATTTGAATGATATAGAAAGGTTTTATTCACTTCAATGTTTCATAAATTATCATTTAAACACCAACTTTACTTCAGGAAAATATGCTGCACATTGGTTGGGAGATAACTGGTCTGAATGGGACAACTTACATTTCTCTATTATTGGTATCTTGCAATTCAGTCAATTTGGATATCCTCTGGTTGGTGCAGATATCTGTGGCTTCATTGGTAACTCTAAAATAAAATTTTCAAATTTGATTTTTTTCTAATTTTTTTTTATCAGGCAATAGTACTGAAGAATTGTGTGCTAGATGGCATCAGCTTGGGGCTTTTTACCCATTTTCTAGGTGACCACATAATGATTTACTTTCAAATACAATGTGTTGATACGCTTTTTATAAGATTTGTTGTAGGAATCACAATGTTTGGGATGGTGTTGATCAGGATCCTGGAGTCTGGGAGGGTGGTCTAGTTGCAAGAGTTGCAAAAGATGCTTTCAAACTTAAATATGAAATTCTTCCATATTTGTATTCCTTATTCTACTACCACACCTTAACGGTGAATTAAAAACAAAAATTATAATGTTGTTTTAACAAAATGAAAAGAATAATTATTTCTAGGGAGCAACTGTGACCAGGCCTGTTTGGCATGAGTTTCCAATGGATAAGAAAACTTGGAACATTGATACACAATTTATGCTTGGACCTGGAATCATGGTTTCACCAATCCTTGAACAAGGGAAAATAACAAGACAGGTCTGCACTAAACATTTGAAGTTTAAGTCATGTAATTTAAATCAATTGATTCATTGATTTAGCTTGAAAAAGTTGTTTAAAATTGTTTCCAGGTTTATCTCCCGAAAGATTCAATTTGGTATTCCTTACCTCTGGATGGGAGCATACATTCTGGTGACATTGAAGTAGAGTCAGGGAAGCATGTTTAAAATATTTTAACTTTCTTTAGTAACTGAAAAAATCGTTTTAGTGTAAAAGCATTTTCTAACATTAAAAAAAATGCTTAAACAATATTAACCATGATTCTCAGATCTAAACAACTCTGCTCACACAACTCCTATTCATTTTCGCGGAGGTTTCATTATTCCAACACAGGAAGGAGATTTCATGAACACTGTTGAGCAAAGAAAATCAAATGCATTTTCATTGAAAGCCTTTTTAAACAGGTAACATCTAATGATGTACATCAACTTGGTTTTTTTTCAGCTTCTTTAATCTTTAATCTTTACTGTTTTGAAAAACTGTTTATTTGAAACATTTTTTCCAAATTTTAACCTTTAATGAAGAAAGAAGCAAAAACGAACCAAAATAAAAAATTATTTTAAACAATTACTGAATGTTAAAACCTTCACATTTAAAAGTCCAAAAACCTCAAAGTCTTTAAAAAGTTATTACTCATCCCACCTTAACAACAATTGGTGACTGAACTGTGCACAATGCAAAATTCACATGGTCGGTTAGAACTACTATTTACGATTTAACTAATGTCTGACAACCTTGTTCTATCATCATTCCATATAAATTATACATTTAGCTTGTGTATACATTTTATATAAGTAATTGCTTTACTATAGTCAATACATTACAAACTGCAAATAATCCCATTTAGGCGTAAACCAACTGAATCTTTAACAGGCTCTAAGGACTTTTATTCAATTTCAGTGAGGGAATGGCTTTTGGTTTCCTTTTTTTGGATGATGGGGAATCATTAAACAGTCAAAATGTTCACACAAGAGTCATATTTTCTATTGAGAAAGGTATGTTAAAACATGGCAAATTCTTAAATTGTGAAAAAGAAGAAGACATATCACAAAGTTTGTGAGTTTTAACCATTAAAAGTGCATTTTTTTCTTTCTAGGGTCTATGGAAAGCAGAGCTGAAGTAAATGATTATACTGAAGCAAATAACATGTTCTATGAAAAAATTACTATTTATGGGGTTAAAGAGATTGTAACTCAGGTAAGATCAAATATATGCATATGCAACAAAGTTATTGAACTGTATGTTTATAATATTCTAATTTAATCTTGCTTAAGGTGACGTTGAACAATGAGTTTATTGAAGCTGATGGTTTCAACTATGACAAAGACTCCGTGAGCTTGACTATCTACCTGGGACAAGAATGTCCTGTTCCAGACCTATTCGTTTTACATTGGTTTTAATATATGAAATAAAATCTTCTTTTGCAACTTAATTTTTGTTGAATTGAATTTGTGATTAGAACATTGCATATAAATGCAAATCCATGAAAAATACAAAGAGTTCTTGGTCACTCTTGACTTGTAAGAACTGCTGTGTTTTTAAAAACCTTTTATCAAAAATTAATTAGCAGTATGAATTTGATATGTTAGCGCTAAAGTCATATATCAACGTCTAACTGGCAACTGCTTTCCATTTAAAAATGTTTCACTTTTCAGTCGTCTTTTTTTGTTTAAAAAAACATGTGATAATTGTTTTAATTACTGAAAATTAATATAATCAAAAGCTTTTAAATCTTTTAGCTTTTAATACTAATTGTTTTAGGAAAGTCAATTGTTAGAAAAGATTTCAGGATTACCTGGAATAATATACAATTAATTTTGATTTAATTAGATTTTTGCAATAAAAAATTATATAATTTTATTCTAAGATATTGAACAAGAACCTTAGCTTCATCCAGAGGGCTTAGTTGGTGGGGGGGGGGGGGAGTGACATCCTTGAAAGAAATCTCTGACGAAAAATATTAGCTATGTACAGCAAGATAAAAAGGAGAGGGGGAAGGATCTTTTCTTTCTTTTCTGAGGAAGATCTACAATTGTTTTATCCCCATCCTGGGCAATTGTCACTGTGACTGGGTTTGAAGATGCTGCAGGTGTGTTTCCTTACACTTTCATCATCAGCAACACCAGTACTGCATCCATCATTATTAACATGGTTGTCATCCACATCATCATAAACAACATTATCATCAACAACATCATCATCACTTGTGCACCTGGTTTGCATTTTGATGGGTCAGTCTGGAGAGAGTTCGGCACTGGCATTTAACTCTGATCATTCTGTTCTGCTGGCTGGTTCTGTACTCAACCGAAAATGTTCTTACAAAACCTTGAGCATCTGGATATGTCTGAACAACTCTGACATTCTTGAATGATCCTACCTTGTTGAGGGAATCCAACAGGAGGACAATGCCGTTCACCTCTAGGGTGTCTTCTGCATTCTCCCACTTTGGAAATGATGCAAGAATTTTTCAAAGTTTGCATGTTAAATTGACCAAATTTTGAGATTTTCTTGTAGCTCAGCTCAGCTTCTCTTAGTCAAGTTTGTTTCCTGGGCACCAGCTTGATTTGTAAGGGTGTTGTTGTGACCAAACATATCATTGACACAGATTGTGTTTCCAGACTCTTAGATGAGTGATCTTTCATTAATAATCGCTGAGATCCTGGCAAACAGTGTTACTCCATGCGACTTAACTTCAGTAGTCCTTCCATGGCCCAGAAGTGTCTAAACCTAACCTAATCCTAAAATATATGCTAATCTCTCTCAATTCTTATAATTCACTGCAGCATTCGCGAGTAACAGAGTTTTGTCGCTACCTTATTATTTTCGGGAAATTTCTAAGCATGGCCAAACTCTGTTACTTGCAAATGCCGCTATGAATTATATTTCATTTCGGCATTCTTGAGTAACACAGATTGGCCAATTTCTAATGGAACCATGGGGTTGCCAACATAATAATTTGTACCACAGCCAATACATATTCTTTTTACAGCCACTCAGGGGCGTACAAGAGAATTTGTTTAGAGGGGGGGGACACTTTTTCGGGGAGTCAGCGCGTAAAATTTTTTTTTGTGCCCCCCTCAGCATTATTGAAAAAATATTGATACCTTTTTTAACTATATAAACAATTCGATCATATATACAGACTTCCATATAACAAATGTTAATAAATTATTTATAAAATTTTCTTAAGTGGACTCATCAGACACTTAATCTTAATACGGTGGTGTAATGGGTATAAAATATTCTATCTATCCTAAAAAATATCTATATTTTTAGATACATATGATATTTACAAAAGTATACGTATTTTTAAGTTTGCCTCAAACTTTATAACTGTAAAAAATACAATTTTTAAGTAAAGAAAAAACCTGAAAAAATGAAAAATACGTAAAATAAAAACCTAAAAACGTAGAAACATTTCTTGGTATGAAGTTTACGAAAACACACGTATTTTTAGGTTTGCATCAAACTTTTAAAACTCAAAAAATACAATTTTTCAAGAAAAGAAAAAACCTAAAACAACGTAAAAATACGCAAAATAAAAACCTAAAAACGTTGAAACATTTCTTGGTATGAAATTTACGAAAACATACGTATTTTTAGGCTTGCATCAAACTTTTAACTCTAAAAAATACAATTTTTAAGAAAAGAAAAAACCTAAAAAATACGTAAAAATCATATTATATTATATTATTATTATATATATTATATAGATTAACTAGGTCGGTTGTGAGCATTGGCTGTTACTATGTCATTGAGTACTTAAGGTGTACATGAGTTCTGTAAAAAGAAATTTAAGTAGTTTAGTCCTTCTCATGTGTCCTTATTCAGATATATTGGTCAGTGAAATAATTTGAAATTCTCAAAATAAAATTTACTCCTTAGTGGTTTAATAATTATAAAAACCATTAAAACACCAAACCACCCCGCTTATCATTGAAGTACACTTTGACCCCTGGAAGTATGAGTTCGCGGACTGTTTCTTGGTGATTTTGCGTACATAAGCTATCTATGTTTATTTATTTATCTATAGGTAAAAATACGTAAATAAAAACCTAAAAACTTTGAAACATTTCTTGGTATGAAATTTACGAAAACACACGTATTTATAGGTTTGCATCAAACTTTTAAACTAAAAAATACAATTTTCAAATAAAGAAAAAACCTAAAAAAGCGTAAAAATACGTAAATTAAAAACCTAAAAACGTTGAAACATTTCTTGGTATGAAAACGAAAACATACGTATTTTTAGGTTTGCATCAAACTTTTAAACTCTAAAAAAAATACAATTTTGTGAGAAAAGAAAAAACCTAAAAAATACGTAAAAATACGTAAAATAAAAGCCTAAAAACGTTGAAACATTTCTTAGTATGAAATTTACGAAAACACGCGTATTTTTAGGTTTGAAAAATACAATTTTTTAAGTAAAGAAAAACCCTACAGTGAAACCCTTAATAACGAATACATTGGAAGAATTTATTAAATGTCGTCTTGACAATTTTTCAATGAGTTTTATACTATATTTCGTAACTTTCAGTATTTGCGAAACTGAATAAATAGCCATGAATATGCGGGAACAGTTTTAAAGAGTTCCATATAATCATTTAATTAAAAAACTAAATATATCTGCAACATTCCATTATCAGAAAGTGAAGAATACGACATTTGATGAATTCTTTCGATTTATTCGTTATTAAGGGTTTCACTGTAAAAAAAACGTATAAATACGTAAAATAAAAACCTAAAAACGTTGAAACATTTCTTGGTATGAAATTTACGAAAATTTACGTATTTTTAGGTAGGGTGAGCAAACAAAGTATAAGTTCAAATGAGCCAAAAAAATAGTTCAAATGAGCCAAAAAAATAATTCTAATGAGCAAATAAATAGTTCAAATCAGCAAAAAAATAGTTCAAATTAACAAAAAATAGTTCACTTGAGCGAAAATATAGTTTAAATGAGCAAAAAATAGTTCAAAATCTTTTTAATAATTTGAACTATTTTTTGCTCATTTTACCCAGCTAGCCAAATTGCGTAGATAGCGTGGTCGCATATTATTTTGGCTCTATTTGCGCAATTAAAACGCAAATTTGCGTATGACTAGATTTCAAATTAGTGTAAATATCTAATTTTTCTAAAGAAAATATTTTATAACCCAGCTTTAAGTAAAAATATCATGAATTTGTGAAGATGTGTATCATTTTATTTCAGGTATACAAATTGCGTAAAAATACGCTCAATTTGCGTAATTCCCTAAAACTCTAAATCTAAATTATTTGTGAAATATCTAAAATTTCCGATACGGCATATATTGCATTTTCCCAAAAAATTGAAAAAATAAACTTTTAAAAAGAATTTAAGTTGTCTTTGTTAGCATTAAAATTGCGTAAAAATTGCGCTCTTTTTACGCATATGTTTTGAGTGTTTTAAATATTGAAGAATTGAGTGGCCCAGGTGTGTGTGCATAGTGCAGAGTGCAGCAATGTTATATTAATTAACTATTTTTTGGTTCATTTGAACTATTCTTTTTTTTGCTCCTTTGAAAGATATGTTTTGGTTAATTTGAAATATTATAAATGCTCCATTTGTACTATTTTTTTGGTCATTTTGAATTATTTTTAGGCTGTATAATGTGAAATATTTTTTGATCAAACATATTTTGTGTTAATTGTTTGCAGACCTATGTTTTTTCACAATATATAAAAATCTTAAACATGCATATTCAATATGTTCAAATAAGTAAAAAAAATGTATTGTTTGAACTATTGAAAATGACTTTATCATAAATAGTTAGAATGAACAATAGTTCAAACGATCGATGTTCAAATGATGAATTCAATTATGGCATAGTTTCAGGGGCGGATACAGGATTTAAGTGAGGGGGTGGGGCAAGATTTTCTAGGAACAAAAAAAAATCATAATTAATTAAGAACAATAAAAATCGCGCTGTAGGCGAAATTTTTTTTTGACTGAAAAGACTCAAAAAGAGTCAAAATTAATGACTAAAGACTAAAAAACTAGATTTTTAACTTTTCACACATATTATAGTTTATTAAGACCGATATTTTTCCTGTTTTACGCTAGGGTTTCTTTCCCTTAAAAGCATGTGCTATTGAGAAGCTATTCTGAAAATAGGAACAAAAAATTCCAAATTCAGGGGGGGGGCAACGCCCCTCCCTGAATCTTTCAGGGGGTGGCGAATGTTCCCCGCCCCCCCCCCTGTATCCGCCCCTGCAGTTCAAATGCGGATCAATAGTTTAAATCTCATACATTTCTCAAACAACAAAACATTTAGTAATACTTGATTCATGAATTCATGGATATTTTCTGAAATTTTGGTTCACAGCCACTTTACAGCCATAAAGCAACCAGATTTTTTTCACAGTCATTTGGATTTTTTAAGACCACAATCGAGAAAAATGGCTTTGGCCAGTGCCACAATTTAAATTGGCAACCCTGAATAGAACAGCTTTAATCAATAAAGCAGCTTAAGCAACAGCTTGATTCTGAATGCCGCAAATAAATATTTCAAAATGACAACTATATTCTCTCAAACAACATTTCCGTATTAACACAAGATCTTTACTTTATTTATATTATTTTCCTTGTAGAGAGTCTAAACTGCGTGGGGGGAAAAAAAACTTCATGGTACTCAGTTTTGAAAATATATTTCGATATATTTCATAATCTTTACTTCCACCTTTAAACTTCTGATTTGGATCAAAGATTAAAAATAGAATATTTCAGATAAAAATGTCGGGGTGGGCAGCTCAGTTCCCACAATGGCAATATGGATATACACAGCTACCCAATTACACAAATTTTGGTGCACCTGACGAAAGGTTTTACACACCCTCACCCCTCAGGGCCGGATTCATGGGCGGTAGAAGGGGTAGGGGAGGTAGGAGAGGAGGTGGTTTCAAACGTGGTGCCCCGCAAATGAAGAATTTTGTGGCCTGCGAAGTAATGAAACCTCTTCAAGCTGCTTCCAATACTGGAACAGCTTCCAGCAATATTGGAACCGCTCCCAATAGCACTCTTATTCAGGTAACTGCCGCAGTAGCGTTAGATCCATATTGTATTGTGATAATGGTGTGAGCCCCCCCCCCCC